CCCCACGCGGTCACTCATACACAACCCTGTGTCAGTTTGCTCTCCATTCTCCTGATTCCATTCCAACTAGGTGAAAAAAACCTTACAATCCTACCATGTTGGTTCCTCGCCCCCCAATTTCTTTCCCAAACAGTTTATGGAAAACACCTACCTAAGTCTGTATTGGGATACATGCTCTCCTTCACTCTCTAAAAAGCTGTTTATAAAAAAGTTTTATTTTTCAGTCGGGATTGTGAAAAATTTCCATACAAATTCTCAGCAAAAAAACTAAGTAAATTACTTGAAGAGGCATCATCGGTCCAATTGGATATAAAGGGATGTAAAATTGTCTTACACTGATTCAAGCCATAAAAGATATATCTTCCTTTAATAATTTGAAATTCTAACAACATTCAGCACCATTTAATGGCCTTCAATCTACCTATCCATCTTGGGTTTGTCTATGCATCGTGGATCCCTTCGTCAATCAATCTATCCACTTGGTCACCGAAACCGCAAATCCATCGCACATTCAGGCATCTATCTACCGTCAAAATCTACCCATCCAATCTAGCTGCTACAACCTACCAGAGAAGAATGCAATTGCTGTTTGTGCCTTTATACATTAGCAAAATTACCATCCTCTGCAATCAGATGAGGAGGTGGAAAGTCCTACGCAATAATACAAAACGAGGCATTCTTTTCTTCTCAAAACAACTTAAACTACTCAGCTTCATACAGAGTGATTGCGTCACTGCAAGAGGGGGCCATCACTTGAACACACACAGAGGGAGAGAAGCAGAGAAATGGTGAAGTCCTCGAAGCCATCTTCTATGTGGGTGTCAATAAAGTACACATGCGCGCACGAATGAGATATAGAGGAAAAAAACAAATTTTAACACGCAAACAGTTCAAGGGTCCAGGCAACTCGTAGCTCGCGGCTAGTTGGGAAAGAAGAATAGAGGTAATTTACTCTCTCTCTCTCTTCTCTTTTCTTCGTATTCTCGTGTGTCAAAGAGGCTGGAAAAAGACAAACGCTGAACACTCCGGTCACATTCCTAGCATGCTTTATACCAAGACGAGCTTAACACAGAAACATATGTGCTGTGAAATCAAGTGGAAAATTCGTATAGGTGTGTGTATTGCAAGCACTTGAAGGCGCAATCTTCCCTTCATCTACCGCTGAGGGTTCTACGAGGTAGCAGAGGAGACGCCTTTCAATGCCTGATGAAAATGATGACGCCTACACTAACAATTATACAATGGAGGGGCCTTCATTGTAGCTGTTGGAACAGGGCAGCTTTTGCGATGGGCTAGAATCTTGCTCCTGTCACATCTAAGCTTTTATTCTCCCGGCCCTCCTGGATACTTTTGATAGAGCTGATTCCCCACTCGTGTGTCGTCTGGTCATGTCTGTGGCCCACAAACGCTTTTACATGTTAACAACTATACCCTATACCCATTGGAATGTAAAAGAGAATGCTACTTATGATCTTCACTTCATATAATATTATCCGAAAACAGAAGTAAAAGTATTTTTTGGTCTCATTCATTAGGATTATAGAGAGTATTTCTAGGTAACATGATAGTACACCACTTCAGAAGCCTAAGATTAAAAAATGACTGGCGGACGATTCTTGCATTTAGTTCGGGACATAGAGCAGCTGTTATAGCATCATTGAGGAGTGTTTAAGAAAACCTTTTTCCGGAAAGGTCCATATTTAAGAATCAGAGGATGTTTCCTTGGTAAAAGAAAACCGTTTCATCACCAGTCGATTAACAGGTCAGTAATAATCACAGACATTGTGATAAAACACTGAAGCCGAAGTTACCTATTCACAGAAAGCAACAACTTCCATGAAATATTGGAAACAAAAGCGGCACCTAGACATGTAGGGGAAAGGGAATAAAAATCCCGATCACAGCTAATTTTGGAAAAGAAAGTCGGTCACGTCCCACCCTCTCTCACATACACAAATTCATACACACACCGACATCGCAATAAAGTGGACGACGGGGAAACGAGAAGGCACGGAGTCCATCTAAGTGATCAAAAATAGGAAGGCATGCGTACAGTGACAATAACAAGGACAGTAGTCACGTCGATTGTCCAGACAGAGGAGGGGTGAGGAAGAATAGCTACCTGGCCCACTATCGAACACGAATTTGCCCTTAGGAGGTGGCAGAGATTGACCGAAACGATATCAGTTTTAGTGTGACAGAGAAGAGAGAGGGCAGCACAATTAAGCCTACCTCCCTGCACCACGAGGGCACAGAGGTACGTGCGCTCGCGTGCATGTCTAATCCGATGACTGGTAGTATTCATGCGTGAAAGCTAAATTTTAGACGATGAATGTGTCCGCACCTCGACCATGACAAGGTCGGCCGAATTGCGGGATTATACATCAAAGCAGCAATGCCATTTGTCTCCCTTCTTCAGCTTCCTTTTAAAATCTCACGAATTAGCCTAACACATTAAATACATGCCTCATATCGTTACTACGTCCCACTTTTCCTACCACAACTCGTTATCGTTTTATTATCTCGCGTTAACTGGTTTCATCAAATTGTGCCATAAACAGATTTTTGAGTGTAAAACGATAAAACAGAAGCAGAATATATTTAGCATAGAGATAACCATACAGATTTATTAAAAAGGAGTAGAATTAGCAAATCTGATATTGGACCAATAAAACATCTTACAGTCAGTGCCATCCTGAGACCCTGAGAATTGTCACAGTTGTCAAACAGTGGCGAGGTCAAACTCAGATTAACATGGCATTTCCTTTGTAATCTATCATTACAGCCTGTCTCCCACGTGACTAGTTGATGTCCAATCAAGATAGAACAAACGGTCTGCTGGTCAAAAGTAGATAGCTCACGCTAACCAACAATAGGAAATCTTAACGAGGCCTGACTGAAATAATTAGAAGTGGTCGCAAATAAGCGATACTAGCTGAAAAGCCTCCATCTGACCCACCTTCGCCTCGTGAAACAGGCATGCCGAACTACTAGCAGCAAGAATTAATGCTGAGAGGCAATTTCGTTGAATGATCTAGTGTGATCAAAGAGCGCCAACTTCTAGACTTGACTGAGAGTAACTAAAAAAAAGAGGAGGAAGAGAGTCAAACTGCTCTGTCTCTCATGCGCACGGAAAAGGAGCAAAAAAAGGAGGAAGAGAGAAATGAAGAGAAAAGAGGAAGAAACGTGCGGTTACAGTGTCTCCACCCCACATTCCTAAGAATTTTTGTCCGTTCGCCGACCTGGCAAGCAGCTCTATCTAAAGCGAGTGGGGAATGCAAATCTTAAAAGCACTTTTAATCCTACTGAACTCAGAAGACAGAGATATAACTTTGCATAATGAATAAGGAATTCATGATTGAGAGTGAACTCTCCGATTCATCAGCCTCTTGTAATACCATCATCAATGAGCTCCGAAAATTGCTCGTTTCAAGAGTTCCAGTTGATATTATCATTTACAAATAACCCCGTTTTAACCTCCTCTTCTCCAATTTCTTCAAAGATTTGAATAGTTCAGCAGCCGAGAAAGACAAAATTAATCTGACGTATTGCCTGAAACAAGCTTTACAAAGCAGACAACACCATCGATGTCTTCATATGAACACATTTTCCCGTATCGCTATCACGATTTTTTTAAAGACAACTCTGTCTGAAGAAAAAAAGGAGATACACGAATCGAAGGCGGGAAGAAGCATGCTCGTTACTTCGGCAAACTGAAGTGAAAGATTATATCAACACCAACGCTGAAGACCTGAATCCACAATCAAAGTCCGCCAAAAGGAAGACAAGATTATCGTTGTTTTAGGAGGTGACATGAACTTGGGCTGCTGCTGACACCAATCACATTCAAGGGAGAACAATTCCCTACCGATAAACCACAGAGATAAGAAAGCATATTAATCATAACCCATGTGCAAAATGCTTGCAGTAATCGTGGGACACTGATAATTTTCAGCATCAGCCAAAGCACAAAGATGACTGACACCGGACCAAGACATCCAAACCAGCCGTACTAGAAATCACTCAAAACGGACGACAGAACACTGATGAAAGTTGTGCAGTATTTACAGTTATAAACATCAACTGAGCCAAGAGGATGACTAAAGTGGGTTTAAACTGCAACGCAAATCAAGAATAAAGCAAACCAGCATTCCATCACGCATGATTTTCGAAACGCTCATACAAGGAATGAAATACTAATGCATTTCAAGGCCAAACAAACAACAATGGTATCACAGACTTCACTAAAAACTCGACACGGATTACCACAATCGGATGCAACCTTAAAACCGACTTCTGCAAGGGCCGACCCAAAGGCGTCAGAATTGATTAAAGTACAAACACAAATCGCGATCAGGAAAAATAAGTGTTTATACAGGAAGGGTGGTCTCGACTGATGCGACAAAGACGAGGAAGTAAGATCATTCAACTGAAGGGATAAAGCCCTTTCAAAAACCAAAAAAACATGTCGCACGATACCAGTGCCTTCAAAAACAACCCATCAAGATAGAGCCACAGATCCTTAAAGCGAAATACCGCGAATGCGAGGAAATGCTGACAGGGACGGACTCTCGAAAGGTTTAAGCAAATCGTGCAGTATTGGTTACAAATACTGACCAAATCACAAGGCCTTTGATTCATTGCAAAGCCATAGGCGACTTTGAAAACGTTTATGCCACCAAACCGATGCAAAGCGCGTGAAGACCAAATGGATTGGATCTAGAGTGCAGCACAAATCCTGTTAAGTAGTGCGGTTTTCTTTCAAGCTTTTAAACCCTCTACACAATGAGAGTTATAGTAATAATTGCAAAGCACACCTGACCACAACGATTTGTGAAACTTGTCCAAACACTGACGCAGGTTGCGTTAAGGTTAGGGTAAAATCGCTACATACAGGCGAAATGGGTACCCTTTTGCGGCCGAATACAGAAGCGCTGTGCACATGGCTTGATACAAACTGAGCCCCAAAGACAAGGTAAACTCAACTAAACGGTGATACGAATCACCTTGGTGATAAGACGAAACATAGCCAAAAAAAGTCGGATTTAAGATACCAACTGAACCACAAAGATGCCAAGGATTCTGCTAAGGGACAAGAGAAGTCGTATTAGAAATCACGCTAAACCCTGGATGTAGCTGTGATTTTAAAGGTACTTTAAAAGTCTAATTTAAATCGTATAAAACTAGACTTTCCAAGTGACAAGTGAGCCAGAGAAACGTTGTCTAGTGAAAACCGAAATACAGAGAATGCACTGCACGAAACCACAAAATACACAAATCGACTGCTAACACAAGTCACAATAAAAGGAGGACAAGGTCACCGTAAACAAACGAGATGGCTCTTCTTTCACAAGCAAATAATGAAACGTTTATAACGCTGAATCACTGTAAAGCACATGGAAGTGCATTGAATTCGAGTAAATCACCGTCTGACAAACGTAGCAATGATTCAGAAAAAAAGGATCGGCCTAAAATGATGTAATATCAAGTGCTTGCTTTTACTGCTCGGTCCGATTAGACGAGGATTGGACAGTGTAATCTGAGGGGATAGGGGAATGAGCAGACGGACAAATGCTGCTCCAGCTTCCAATCCACTCCTCCCAACCAATCACACTACAGACCGGTGGGCGCGCAAAATTATGACAAGGCTCAACCCGCAGACAGACCCAGGGCAGAAAGGGGAGAAAGCAAGGAATCGAAGGCAATAAGGGAAAGCAAACTTTGC